ACACACACACAAAAATGAAATAAATAACCAAACAAGTAGGTTCTTACTGCGATGCGGAGCAGGGTGGCCCTGACAGCAGCCCATCGGTCCAGCCGTCTGTCGATGACCAGGATGAAACCCACTCCTGATGCTTCCACACTACAGGAGAGAAACACACACATACACACACTGTTAATCCCCACATAAAAACACCTTTGCTTTTGCTGTGTGTGCAGGAAAGAAAAAGAGGGTGTGTATGTTTAAGTCAAGGCCTCGATAACAAGGCAAACTACTGAATTTGGTACCAGAATATCCCCAAAAAAGGGGCCTTAACTAGAATTTGCCCTCCACAGCGGTGGCTTGTACATTATTGAGAGGGCCCTTGAGCTCCGGTAAGGCAATAATTGAGTTATTTTATAAAAAATAATTCCAAATCAGCTTGCATTAAGAGGTTAGGCAGTTTCACTGTTGGCTGACAGATTATGGCATAGGTTATGTCTATTATCTAGGAGGTTTAGGAAACTTACAGACAAATCAGGCCCACTGTAGGTCACTGTAGACGCAGGATAACACAAAAGCATTGATTAGCTAAGGAAAAAAACTGAAGAGGTTGCAGTTTCTTTGTTTAGTGCTATATAACCTTTTTAAAATGTCAAATTTACAGTTAAAATGCAGTTGCAGCTGCTGAATGGGCCTTTTGTCAGTCATTCACTTAGTTGGAAAAAAAAAAAGGGTATAAATTGTTATTTTTACTCCCCACTAGCCTCAGGTCATTTTCCACAAGTGGCCCCTGGCCAAAGGAAGTCAAGTATCCCTTGTTCAAACCTTGCTACCTACTGCCTCTTCATCATTTGCCTTCAGTGGCGATTACAGAGCGACCCTTGTGATTACCATGGCAACCTTGGCTCTGCATTAGCATGTGTGCATGTGAAAAATCTTGCCATTCATTCCACAGGCAGTGCCATATGTAGCAGCCTCATTAAGCTAGTTTGTGTGTGTACATGGCTTTTTCCTGCAAAAGTCCCTGCTGGAGAAGCTAACGTGTATCCTGACACCTAAACACACAAGCAGGAAGGATGAATATTTAAGCCTGACACACACATACACACACACACACCCCGACTGTGAGGCCAACCATACAAATACTGCTGAGTCGGTCCATCTGGATGTCATTATTAGCCAATTTTCATGATCACACACAGAGATGTTAAGAAAAGCAATGCGTTACACTACCCGGTGGACGCCGCAAGCGGCAAATCCTCAGTCCATCGCTACTGCTAAATAGATTCAATCCACATAAATGAAAAAGCCGGGCGAAGAAAATCTTTGATATTCCAGAGCTCAAAGAAAAAGAGATCTAGCAAAAATCCTCAATAATCCAATGTCATCATCCAAATATAGTCCAGGCTTCCTCAGTTCTCCCCTATTCGGCTGATGTCAATGTCCAGTCGGTGCATCCACAATCATCTGCTTGCAGCTCGCGGATGGAGCGAGGTGACCGTTCACATCCTCACAGAGCATCTCCCTCCTCCTTTTGCCTCTCTCTCTGCTCCTCCACCACCCGCGTCCCACCCTCAGCCAATTAAAGCCGAGCTCTGCCGCTCAGAGCCAATCAGATACCCGGGAGCTCAGCCGATTGGCAGCAGGGTGCAAAATAGCTGGTGGGCAGAGAGGGAGGGGTGTGAGTGTGTGTCTGTTATATGAAAGGTGATGATCCACTGAATGGCCGCCATGACACACACAAAAACATATGCACACACACACACACACACACACACACACACACACACACACAGAGATAGATATACAGCTGCATCTTCCTTTCTCCTTTAATTATGTGTGTGAGAGCATGTCTGTGCTTGATGAGAGTGCTGCGCTCAGCACTAAAGGAAAGGTGAAAGGAAGGGAGGGGAGGTGAGAGGGTGGAGGGGCAGAGGGAGCATAAAGGAGGAGGACAGAGGAGTGATGAGAACAGATAAATTTAAAAAAAAATCTAGTTAGGAAAACAAACCTCCACTGTAGAAATATACAAAAACTATAAATACAAAACCTTTCATCAGGCCTAAGTTCTACTATACGAGTTCATATGAGCAATGTTTTAACATTGTAACAA